CCTTTTCTATGTTATTTGAAGAAGTCTCTCTTTAGCAGAGGTGTATAGAGGGAATTCGCAACCCGATTGGGGCAAAGAAGATAATGGCGGGTACTGTTGAACTATCTTCTTTTCCTGTGTTGCTTCTTGTGGTTTTTGTTTTATTTTTCTTTATTCCAGCGATGTCGCGTTTGAAGGTGGCTAGTACAGTTTGTGGTTTTGTTTCTTTCCCTTTTCCTCCCCCCCCCCCTCCCCCTTCCTCCCCCCCTGTCCTCGCATCGCAGCCCCAACAACTGGTGTTAAGGCCCCCCGCGCGGATGGGTCTGCTGGATGCGGGGGACCAGATACGGCTACTTCTTGAATCCCCAACGACCGTCCATTTATCGTAGCATGTGTTTTATGAATTCATTTGTGTGTGTGGAGTGCGTATGAGGGTGTTGAGAAAATATTCGCTGCAGTGGAGGATGCTGGGCGCGCTGAGGCGAACTGTCACCTCCAGCTGTTGTTTCCTTTGTAGGAACGGCAGGGACTTGTCCCACACCCAGGCGCGTCTTTCTTGTGTGTGTATGCGTGTGCCCTCCCTCACACAGTTATTTGCCGCTTCTGCGATTCTGCAATAAAAATGGGCGCAAGTAAAGAAAACCGAAGAGAAAGGGAAAGGGTTGAAGTTAGAGCTCCATTCTGAGGCAAAAACATACCATTCATGCCACACTCACGCAACGAGGCGTAGGAAAAGCAAAAGGTTCCCTTTTCTACCCTCTCCGCGGTTTGGTGGTTGGGTTCTGTTGTTGCTTTGGCTGCTCAATGTACGTAAGAGTTTCTGAGGTGAGGTGAGGTGAGGTGAGGTGAGGGTCTGCAGCAGAAATGTCTTTGCCTCCTTTGTACTTTTTTGTTTGTTTCTTGTTCCGTTGTATGTTCCCCTGCTTTTACATTGTTTTTTTTTTTTGCTTCTTTACTTTTTCCTTTCCTGCGTGCGTGTGTGAACCCGCCGACGTGTGTCTGTTTTTCCTTCCTCGAAAGTGTATTGTGTCGCCGCCAGCTGCCGCAGCCGAGCGCTCCCCCCCCCCCCCCCCCCTCACAGTGTGCGTGTGTTTTTCTTTTTGCCTCTTGCCCCTTTCTGCGCATGTGGCAGCTCTCCTCACCACCTTCGTCGACGCGCCCGGAGACGGCGAAACGAGCGGGGAGGAAGGGACTGTTGTGGAGAAGCGAAGGCGGGGCGGGGGTGGGTCGGTGGAACAGACGAAGGAACAGCAACAGCAGCAACAACAAAAAGTATTATTCATTCATTGGTTTATATCGTTTTAATGGAGGACCTCAGTTATCGCGGTGCAATGGTGATGCCGCTACCGATGGTGCATCTCCGCAGGTGCCACAATCCGGAAAAGGCCCTCGTTGTCTATCAAAACGCAAAGGGTAAGGGAGAAGCCGCTGTTCAGGAGCTCCTTGCGCGTGCCCGGATTATTGTCCCGGCACTCATGAACTACCTTTTCTTCAGCAGCACACACGTTGCGGTGCTTTATTTGGGGAAGAAAGTCGTAGATGGCAAAAAGTTGGGTGTTGAGGAGGGTGCAGTGGACATGAAGATCCGGATGCTTCGCTACCTGACAACCGACATGTGGCCGCCGCTGCTGCGCACGGATGCGCCTGAAGACTCCGGCATGGCGGAGTTTCCCTTCTCTAGCTATGGCGAGAGCCTTCTGGAAGACCTCCCACCGGGAGAGGCAAAGCTGGGGAATGTTTGCCGGGAGACATCCATCAAGTTCCTAAGGCTGGTGGCGCTGCAGCGTAGCATGGAAGTGTTGGTGTACGTCAAAAATGGCGTGGCGGGGATGAAGTACCTCAAACTGATCCTTCGCAATACGATGGAGCGAGTACATTTTGACGTGATCGACACAAGGGATGAGAAACATCGCTGGGAGGAGCGCAAACTTTTCGTGCGCATCCTTGACAACTTGGAGACGCAGAGGGCCATCCCAAGTTTTGAGGCCTATGAGTCCTACTTTCGAGAGGCGTGCACGGTGGCGGCTCGATTGTCCGTACATCATGCAATACTGAAGAAGCGTGTGGTGGTGGTAGACTCAAGAAGCGGGGGAGGAAAGGAGGACGCCGGCGAGGAGCGCCAACATAGCTGGATGGCAAAACTATCCAAGCCAGAGGGATCCATGCTGGATTACAAGAGTTACATTTTTGATACGGTGGCCGAGATAAAATACAATTGCATCCGTTTCATGTGTGGCTTTCTAAACGCGTACATGGAGGGAAAACTCGTCATTGGTGTCCATGAAGTCCCTCGGCGGAACCCCGATGGCTCGATTCCTCCCTTTGGTGATGGAAAGAATAGCATTATCCGTCACGATGACTTGGTGGATCAATATGTAGTGGGTGTATGTCTCACCGCGGCTGACTTGGAAGATATTCAACAGAGCCTCTCTCAGCAACTGCTGGAGTGTGTCCCACCTGTACCACCAGAGGCAGTTCGTGTAGTCGTGTTGCCTGTGCAGTTCCCAAAAAACTTTAAAATTTCAAGTCGTGTTTTGGTGCTTTGCGATAATGAGGCAAATGGTTACGGGAATGCAATAAAGCAAAAGATATTTTGTGCCCTGCATCACTTGGTTCCACAGGGTCTTGCACTAGTGGTTGTTCGGAGCCAAACGCTACAGCAGGCTTTTTTGCAGGATGGCGAATGCTTCCATAAGCACAAGATAGGGTTTTACGGTGTGGCGGCTGTACAGGAACCCTTGCTGCTTGATCGACTGAAGTGGGAGGAGTCTCTTTCGTACGTGTTGGAGGGACAGAAGAGCTGCTGTCGCTTTGTGTTTGTTGATGCCCCTGGTGACATTGAGGTGGTCTCCCTTGGCGTCGTTGAAGTTTCGGTAAACTTGAAACGCACCGCATGCCTACCACTACGAATGTACACGGGGAAGTTTTTTAGCGGATGGCCGTCTATTCCAATTTGGGACACCGTCACACAGACGGTGCGATGCGTTGAGCGTAACTATAACGTCTTTGCCTCTCTCTTGGGGGCAACTGGCGGTTCTGTTCCGAAGTTTCACAAAAGAAACTCCACCGCCTTGGCCGTGCCCCTGCCAGTGCGCTTTTCGCTCCCCAGCGAGCCCTCCCAGCGATGGGCACTGCGGCACTCGCTTCACTCATGGTTTAGCGATCCACAAGTGGCAGGCCGGGTTCTTAGCTTCTTGGGGGACACGCTGGACTCCCTCCGCTTTCGCCTTCTTCACCCCGTATGCGACACCGTCTTTGAGCGTCGTCAAGGCATTCACTTGCTTCAACTCCTATTTGCGACCTCTTTAGGAGACGTCTCCATGCGCTGCTCTTGGGATGCCCTCTCTTGGATGCAGAGTGAGATGCGTGAGGCAGAAATCCCGCCCATGCCACTTCTCTTGTGCCGAGTGTTTGAAAGCATCGGAACGCTTCCTTCTCCTTTTCCATATGTGGCGGTGCCTCTCGAGCAGCAATCGTTCCGCGTCTCCAAATATTTGGTGCCGCTGTTTAACCTACAAAGCTACTTTGATGGACAAATGAGGCCATCCATCGTGCTTGACATGCGTGACGGCATTGTGAAAGCCATTCGGCTTCAAAATGGCATCTTCATCCTCCAGAGAGTGTTTGGTGTGGGGTTTGAACAAATTACAAGGCGTCATCTTAGTCAATTCCTTTACCGGCGGCGGATGAGTGAGGAAGGACGCTTCTCTGACGAGGATGCCTTGATTAGCGACACAATACAGGGTTTTCTAACCCCATCCTTATTTCGTCCTTTTATGCATGCCAGCGACGAGGAACAGGCTCTGTTGTTGCCACTTGCTGCAGCCGTGGAGGATACTGGCATTCAGACGCTGCCGCGCGAGATGGAGCGTCGGCTTCCACTTCTTGCGTTTAAGTTTTTGACCGAAGACACTCTTCCAAAGTGTGGGGTTTCCTCTTCGACCGCACCGCAAAGTGACGGTGGGACGGAGGTGGAACACGAGCAAGCTGATGTCCGACGGATCCCGTGGACATTGTCGCACTTGTTGGCCTGGTTCAATGTACTGGCCTCTGATGAGCACGTGCAGCATTTTGGCTACTGCAGACGTTCTGTGGCGTTTCGTATATCCTCCCTGCGAGAGGTCTGTTCGGAGCATGTGGATCGAATAGAGGAGGGCAACGCGTTTTTGTCGCGCCTCCGCTTCGCCGACTCCCCGCAGAGCTGCCTCTTGCACCAGGTAGTAGATGCGTGGCTTTCACTCTGATGCTCTTTACCCGTCAAGAAGAGTAAAGTTGAAAAAAAAGCTGACGCAATACGAACAAAAAAAGTAAAGGAGTCCGGAAGAAGTATTTTTTCCCCCTTTTTTTTTTGGTAATGGGGCTGGGGAGAATTTCTCGTCATGGGGTGCATTCGTTGCCGGACAGTGTCTCCGCCTTCATTCCTGACGGATTTCTGAAAACTGTGTCCGGGGGTGTGATGCGCACTTCTTTGCAGCGCGGTCGAGGTCCATCTCTCTTTGCCTCTGTAAGCCGTGCCGGAATTCTTGGGTCGCGCGTCGTCCAGAGACAAAAGCAAAGGGGGGTAAATGCTTTACTGTCCCAACGAGCCCACCCGGTGCCTTCCCGATTCTTCTTGAATATTGACCTTGTCGATTAATGCTTCTAGATGAGTCTTTTTTTTTTTTCTTGATCTCCCACTCTAGGAATATAGGCGGCCTGGTCTCATCCAGCAGCGTATTCGATGTGTTTTTTTTTGTTGTTTATACATATTTTATTGCTGCCCACCACCTTTTGGTGGATTCCTCTTCTGCGTGGGCGTTCATATAACGACTGCAATGTTTGCCGTGCGGGTTTTTTTTCCTGTTGCTGCTTCTCTCCCGTGTGCTGGAGGAGGCCATTGGGTCACCGGTCGTGGTGGCCACGCAACTGCCATAATTCCCCTAAGGAGCCTCATTATCATCTTCTGCTCGCACGCTTTTTTTTTTTTGCAGGATGACCCCGTTGGGGTTTGTTGAGTTGATTGCGGCCACGTCGGCTGAGGGAAGATACGAGTTCACGGGATTCTTTTGGCACCGGTGAGTTTTACCTCCTCCCTTTTTCCCCGTACCGTGTTGCACGCTGACTGGGATGCGTGCATGCGTCGTCACACGGGCTTTAGCTGCCGCACGAACTCGAGGAAGAGTAACGTGCAACCACGCGGACATTTTTACATGGGGTGCGTCACCCCCCGAGCACGACGGAGGTCTCTCCAAGGGGGAGTTGAATCGGATGAGGTCGCGGTTCTACAATGCGGGGCAGCGGCGCTGCACGCTGTGTGACGAGCATTTGGAGGCTTCTTTTCCCGCCCACTGTGGCTACGTGGGCCACATTGCGCGGGTTGGCATCCTCGAGCGAGCTACCGCCACGCTGCAGAAGGAGATGGCAGCCGTTATGACGCATCCCGCGTCTGGGCCAGCGTCAAGCGTGGCACAAAAAGTGCGGGCTCTTCTGGAGGACTGGTGGAGGCGGCTGAACGAGGTGGAGCAGGAGACGCTTCTGGACTACAAACGTATAGCCTCCCTTAGCGCACCAACTTCCAGGAAGAGACTGTGGCGGGTGCGCTTCCTCTTGGAGTTTTTGCGTGATCGCGGCGTGATTCGTGACTGCCTGACGTTGGTGAAGGGGGCCTTGTCTGGTGAAGCTTCGTTTGTGCGCACCAAACGTTTTGAACGCAGTGAAATGATTGGAGACAACATAGTGAAGGTTGTCGTGCCAGACCGTCTTGTGCGTCTGTTTCCATCGAAGGAGGGTGGTGTGACGTACAAGCTTGCGTGTATTCAGCAGCTGCTTGACAGTAATGAGGGGTTGCTGCAGATTTATGATTACCTTGACCTTAACTCCATCATCGGCGTCCGACTACCGAACAATAAGACGAAGTCGGACGTGGTGGAGTCCCTTTTTGGAGAACTTCAGACGTTTCTTTGGGCGAGCGACGTGGCCTGTGGCTTGAGTCAATACCCTGCCATTCCCACCGTCGAGCATCGCTACGTGCGGGCCCTCGTGGAACACCTGATGAATGAGCTTACCCACATGGTCATCATGTGGCGCATTGAAACCACCCTGGAGAACGCGAGGGAGTATCTGGAGGAACAGCTTGAGAGAAAGTCACAACAGCTACATCCGTTTGCCACGAAGGGGGGAGTAGGCGGCTGCGTGGTCGTGAAGGAAGTGGAGTGCGACCGCGGTCGCTACGCCGTTTTGCCGCTCTTGATGTCCTTTCCTTACCAGACTGCCGCGGCGGAAGCACGACCGCCCGGACAGCGACCAAACACGCCCCCGCTGGGACGCCATGTGCGAGAGAACGGAACGCCACAGATGTTGTTTTCAACTTCTATACCAAAGCCAGCGTCGATGGAGCTGCACTATAGGCCGCGGTTGCGTGTGGTGCGAAGCGCAAAGGAGTACAAATTGGAGGCGGTGAGGGCGTTGTCGATGCAGCGCGGGGTATTCACGAGTCGTTCCTCGGGGTCCGCGTCGTCGACTTCGGTGGGAAGTCAGGTGAGCGCCAAGGACGCAAGGAAGCAGTTGGGCTACCTCCCGCCGACAGGAGGATCTGAAGAGAAGTATCCCACGTGGACCCGTGACCTGCGACTTGCGGAGACACGCCAGTGCGTGGAAGAGCACATGACGCGGCAGGGAATTTACGTGGAGACGATAAACTGGGGAAGCTTGGTGACGGCTGTGGCGCGCACTTTAGCGGGGTCGCAGAACTCAGAAGCGCCTCGGCTACAAGGTGGACCAACAAAATCGTTACCGCTATCAGCAGCAGGAGCAATAGCAGGGACAATTTCGTTTGAGGAGGAAAAGTTAAGCTTGGTTGACAGGATGTGCATTCCACCATTGAGCCCAACAATGCAGTAGTTTCCCTTATACTTGCCTGTCTCCCTTAAGTTTCCTGGCGACGCTGTTACAGATTAACGGCCTACCGTAGACTTCCGCTGAGAGCTAACCGACCCCATGTGTGTTGTTGCTGCTGCTGCTACTGCCGTTTTCCCTTCACACGTGCGGCCTTTCTGCTTCGCCTCTTTCGAGTCTCTGAGGGCTGCGTCGAGTTGCGAACCCCCACATCGAAGGCGTCAAGAAAGGGGGAGGGGAAAGGAGGGCGGAGTAAAACAAACAAAAGAAGCCACACATGCATAACGCCCTGCTTTGCCTTGGAAAAAGACGGGTTCTTCTTCTCTGCATTGTGCTTGTCTCTGCCTTTGCCTTCGTTTCTGCTGCTGCTGCTGCTGCTGAGGATGCCCTGGCGCAGAGGCGAAGGGAGAGGTGTGGGATGCTAACGGATTGCGTGATCATCAGCGCACCGGGGGCGCAACTAACGGTGGATGAACTGAAGATGCAGGAGGACACTCCTGATACCGTCCTGGCGCGTCTTCCAAGCTGGTTTGGCGGCCAGCGTCCCTTCACCCTGCTCCTCAATGGGAAGAAGCTGAACGGGTCTGCCACACTTTCCAGTCAGGGTGTGGAAGTTGGGTCCACTCTCTCACTGTTGTCGTCTGCCGCTTCGGTGGAGCAGGGTGAACTGTGAACACAAAACAAAAGCAAAAAGCCGGGAAGAAAACATCTGTGCTTGTGTGTGGAGCTGAGAAGCACAACTTGGGGTTTATTTGTCTTTGGTGTTTTGCGTTCACGGCGGACCTCTACAGATGGTGTGTTTTTTTTTTTTTGCTGGTTCAACCCTCTGCATATTTTTTTTTCGTCGCCATCGATGCCGTTTATTATTACTATTATTATATTCTTTTCCTTTGTCTGCTGTTGTTTTTCTTTTGTTTCTGCTGTTGGAAGCATTTCCGGCGTCGGGCAACCTCACTTTCCTCTTTCCCCCGCTCTGTTCAGGCAAATAG